GACCACCTGCCATTTGCCTTTGGACTGAGATATGACCTTGCTCAGAGAGACCCCTTACCCTGGGTCAGGGTTCACATGGTCCCTGAGAGTATCACATCTGCTCACAAAGTGTCAGAACCTTCCTTCAAGTCCTACTCTTTGTTAATGCCAAAGCCTTAGGCACCTCGTCACTTCCAGCACTCTTGAGAACCACCAGAAACAAGATACCCAGTAAAATTCCATCCCAGGCAAAGTCAAGCTGCCCAACACAGCTGGATACTCAGTATAATTTGGGAGGCTCAGTAGAATAACTTTCTTGTCCCCTAAACTCCACCTCGGTTTACTTTTCTTCTAAGAAACACTCCTGAGAAAGTCATACCTGTGTTTGCCAGCACCCAGAGCCTTTCCTGAAGGTAGATTGAGAAAAGGAACGCCCCCTCCCCATAAGGCCTCTGGGGATGCTCTGTCCTCAGCACACTGTCAAATTCAACTTGGCTCCTGCCTTGCTTACCCTCAGATACGCTGGGTCACACTCAAGGACTTATAACAAGGAAAGGCAAACAACAGGTAGCAATTGGTGACCAGTCACGAAAAGCAGCACCAATCCTCTGCCACTTGTCCTCTCAATAAAACATAAAAATAAATGTCTGGGAACTTACTTAGGCATCCCTCACCTTCCCTACAATGGAAGAGGTCAGCTTGTTCCATCACCCTGCCCAGGTTCACCTGAGGTTACCGGTTCCAAAAGACAGATGTTAGAATAACCTCTCCTCCCCCTCCTCCCTCCAACAACTTGCAGGATGCTCAGAACCAAAGTCCTGGGTGGGGAAACTCACCTCGCAGCCCAGGGGCTGCCATGGTGCGGCTCACAGGACTCCAAGCCTGAACTGGCCTGTCGCTGTGCTCCCCTCCAGACAGGCTTATGCGAGAAGCTAATTCCATCACGGCTCAGCTCCATCTGGACGTGCCCGCCCCCTCATCAGCGACAGCCACTGCCTCCTCCTCCTGTCCATCCCTCAGCAGGTCCAGCGCTCCCTGCCTTGTCCTGGGCGCCCCGACAACGCTAGTCCCCATGGCGCGGAGAAAAGATCCCGCGTGCAGGTGCAACACACGCAGGGGTCAGTGGGCTGAGAGCCAGGACTAAATGCTGCCCGCCCTCCTCCACCCAGAGAACTGCACGGACCTGGCAAGCCTGTGATAATTCAACCCGATTATCTCATGAACCCAACCGTCTGGCTGATTAGTTTTCAGTCCTGACAGCAAGACTCTTTCCTGCGGCCCCCCAAGGGTCACCACTGTCCAGGTGATCACCTAGGTGGGAAGTGGGCCTGTCCCTGGGCAGCACAATGGGGCCCCTTCATAAGCCTGCCGCCCCTTCACACACCTGCCTCCACTCTACCTCACCTCCAACTGTGGTCCAATGTAAATCAGGAGATAAGGAGCAGGAGTTAGGGGCAGGTGTACACCAGGGGCACAGGGCAGGAAGGAGGGGTAATGCTGGGACCATTAAGGAGGGTCTGGGGGGCAGGCTGTGTAACAAGAGTGGTAGGGTCTCCCTGGAGTGGCTTCAGGACCTGCCAAGGGGCAAAGGGATGATGACAAGGCCACCAGAGGGCCATTCCTGGTGATTCAAGCTACATTCCAAGATGCCCAAAACAAACATGCCCATCAATACTGCCAGTCCCCCAGTGGAAACTCATTGTTACCATCAAGTATGCTATACTGTGGTCACTGAGTGAGGGACTCAGACTCTCTCCTGAGTCTGAAAGACTACTGCTCCCTATTCTACAGAGGACAGTGGTCCAGAGTGAGTGCCTCACAGAGAGTGAGTCAAGGTCAGAACCCAAGAAAACCAAAACACATCACATTCCAACCTCAGAGCTTTAGTCTGCTCATTCTGAGAAATAATGACTGGTGTTTATTCAAGACTCCATCTCCATCAGGAGCCCCTGAGCATGTACCTAGCTTAGATATATTAATCCTGACCATCATTCTATGAGGCAATGACTGAAGAACACACAGGTTATGTGAAGAGATTGCAGCCTGGGTGTTCCAAGTTCCAAAGCAGACAGCCTGCTCCAGCGTCTCTACTCCAAACATGCTGTGATCAGCTCCTCTCCCTCCCCCTTCCTCCTCTCTCCCTCTGTCTGTCTCATATGCAGAGTGCCCCCTTCTTCATGAACCCTCTGCATGTCACTCCAAAAGGAATGAGGAAAGACTGATGACTGCCCCTCTACCCATTCCCTTTCTATCTCCCCTCAAGTCTCTCTAAATTCTTTCCATGACATTCCTCTAAAACACTTTTGGGGACTATCCTAGCTACTTTTCTGTTGCTGTGATAGAAACACTCTGACCAAAAGCAAGTTGGAGAGGAAAGAGTTTATTGGGCTTACACTTCCAAGTCACAATCCATCACTGAGAGAAATCAGGGCAGGAACTGAAGGCAAGAACCTGGAGATAGGAGCCATGGAGGAACACTGCTCGCTGCCTCTCTCCCTGACTCACTCTGGCTTATGATCACCGAGCTTCCTTATCCAGCCCAACCCCACTTGCCTAAGGGATGGTGTTGCTCACAGTGGGCTTGGCCCTCCCACATCAATCATCAGTGCAGACAGTACCTCACTGACATGGCTGATCTGAACAATTCCTCAACTGAGAGTCCATCAAATGACTCTAGGCTTTGTCAAGTTAATAGCTAGAGCAAACTAGGGCAGGAACTGTCTCATCTGCTCTAAGGATGACCATAATAAAAGGTCCCTACCACCCAGACCCAACCTTGGAATACCTGCAGGTAAAGGAATGAACACACACACACACACACACACACACACACACATACACAAACACACACAGGTCACTTGTAAACTGGCAAGCTATGTTGAAAAGGCAGTCTCCCTGCCCAATTTCTCTGTGACCGGTGCTTCCAATAACACCTTTCCCCAGACAGTGTTAGGCAATCAGACAAAAGAGTGACAGTTAATTCCCTGTCTCTAGATCTGGTTTCCTCCAGAGACTGACCTTAGAGGCTAGTCAAAGTTGGAAGCCAGGGGGATATGTGGAGAAATGACAACCTTTGAATTATTAAGCAGTTATATAAAATGTCCATCTATTCTTTCCTCTAGCTACCTCACTCAACTGTCCACCAAATCTAGTCAACGTGGCCTGTGTCATGTAAGACAGCTTTTCTTGAGTTAAGTGGTAGAGGCCTAGGAGTACAGCAGTCAGCCACTGGTTCTCATGAGATCAATGAAAGAATCTATAAGTAAGAGGGATCTCGGGCCTCTGGCTGAGTGGCCTGGGAGTTCTTGTTTAGCTGTCAAGGCACTTGGGTTTTGAACCTGGCTCTGCCATTCAAAGGCTGTTACCTTTACAAGCCACTTGACTTTACTGAGCTGCTTTCACCATCTTTACAAGAGTTAGGGAAAGACTGCACACTAGATGTCTAAATCTTTTCTGACTCCATTAGTCATACTTTCAATGAGTTAAATCTCTCCTGTGTGGAAAGGACTTGAAATGAGTATCAGTCTCCATCAAACTCCCAGAGCACATCCAGGGTGTGGTTTGTGTTCTCACAGGTGTTCTTTCCCAGCTAGAGTGCCTTACCTTGCTGGCTATTTGAATGAGGCATCCCCCACAGGCTCAAGTATTTGAACACCTGGTCAGCTGGTGGCACTGCCTGGGGAGGTTTAGGGGGTGCAGCCTTGCTGAAGGAAGCCCATCACTGGAGTGGGCTTTGAGAGCTCAAAACCCCTCATCCCATGTCTAATTTCTCTCTCTGCTTCCTGTACATGCTTGAAGATGTGAGCACTCAGGTTTCTGCTCCAGCTGCCCCTGCCATGCCTCCCCATCATGATTGACTCTCATCCCTCTGAAATCATAAGCCAAATAAATTCTTCCTTCCATAAGTTGCCTGGGCCATGGTGTTTTATCACAGCAACAGAAAAGTAATACAACATGTAAGGTCTTTTCATATACTTTAAGGAAAGGCAATTTTTACTGAGGGGGACGGTACCATTTAGTGATTTGGGGATTAGGTTCTGGAGTCAGAAGGGCCTTGACAACTGGCACAAAGTTTAATAGATTTAACATTCAGCCCCTAGGATGAAGGAAATCCCCAGTGCTCTGCCACTGACCTTAAAGTCACTTATTCCCTCCTTTGAGATTGGATTTCTCCATATTAATGGTCTTTATTTTATTTCATTTTACTGGTCTTTTTGAGGCAGGGTCTCTCTGTAGCATAATCTGGCCTGGAATTCACTATGTAGACCAGGCTGGTCTCAAATTCACAGAGATACACCTGCCCCTGCCTCCCAAATGCTGGGATTAAAGGCATGCACCATCACGCCCAGGCATTAATGTTCATCTTTTATATTAGAGCATTTTATGGTTACCTAAGATGTTCAGACTTTATCTTGGGCACAAGCTATTGATCTTCACAATCCCATGAATGTGATAACCATGCCAGTTTTGCAAATAAGGAAACCAAGTCTGAGAACTGTGAAGGGGTTGGAGGCCAAGTGCTTGGATGATAGCAATAGGTGGAAACCTAGGTCTGCCCCTAAGCCTGAGGCTCATCTGCTGTGGTGGCACCAAGGCTTCTGCACCTGCATCCAGCCTCCAGGTGCCCTCAGTCCTCAGCACTCCTTCCTCCCACAGGGTCCACTAAGGTACACAGGAGATTTGTCATGCCTGGGCAAATACCTCTCTACAATTTTCAGTCACCCTGACAGCAGAAGCCTACCTCTGGGGCCCACCCTTCTTCCAAGTACCCCAATTCAGAGATTTGAGAACTGGGTGCTTCTAAGCAAATGCCTTTTGATTGAGGCCACCAAGCTGTTTCTAGGGAGACCTGCCCACCACATACCCTCCCATCTAGAAGGTGTCATAATAACACTGTTTCCTAGAGATTGGCCATCCGCCCCACCCCCGGCCCCCGCCAGGCTAGGAGTGTTTGCAGAGGGACCCTGTGCTTGGCCCCTCATAGCTGTCAACTCAGACTTCAGACACAGTGTACCACCAGCTGTGGTTAAGATGAGAGCTTGACCTTTATTGTGGGCCCAGGAGGGCACAAGAGCAAGGTGCACATGGGACTGAGCAGCAGCACTCTGGCTGATCAGGCCATGACCAGCAACCGTGGAAGTCCACAGCAACTGCAGAGAGACCTCACTTGATGCACTTCCGGGGAGAACACCTGCACTGCATGGCATTGAGGACCTCATGGTACACAACGGAGCCATTGGTGCAGTGCAGGGGCACCCGCATGGGCTCCGTCCTCAATGGAGAGCAGCAGGAGCACTGATCTTGCACGTCCTCAATGTCAATGGAGTACACGGCTTTGCTAGCACATTTGCCCTGAGAAGTAGCAGAGAGTTAGAGCATCACATTGTTGAATGGGGCAGCAGGCCTCCGGGACAGCCTACATCCAGCCTCCCCCTGGCCTTTTCAAGCAAGGCAGGCTTGCCCCACCCAGCGACCCCGGGGACCTAAGCAACTTGCAAAGGTAGATTTCAGAGAACACTGAACTTCCTTTCCCCAGTCATACACATCCAAATCCCTCTAACTGCAATTTCTGTGCATGTTTGATTGATCTCCAGGAAATACAACTCCCTATTTTCCACAAACAACTCTCCATTCTCTTTAACGGGTTTGTTTTGATCTTTCTTCTGGGGTGAAAAGTTTCTACTCACTTAATGAAACATTAACTTTAAAAAATGTTTATAAGAGTTGGAGAGATGGTTCAGCGGTTAAGAATACTGACTGCTCTTGCAGACGACCTAGGTTTGAATCCCAGCACCTACATGGTGGCTAACAACCATCTGCAATTCCAGTTCTAGGAGATCTAATACCTTCTTTTAGCCTCCATGGGCATTGCACGACATAGGTGCATTTAAATACATGTAGGAAATACACACACACATAAAATAAAAACTAAATAAAGAATTTTAAATGTTTATAGGTCCTTTCTCCTCTCTTCCTTGTGAATTTTCCAGATTCTTCTCTACTCTAACTAAAGGGCATGTCCAAACAAGGAACCTCAGCCCGTCCCACCCAGGCCTTCTTGAAGTCACATGACCATACCTGGCAGTAATGAATGTCCACTTCCTCTTGGGACTTACAGTCTCCCACTTTGACGTACTGCAGCTTGGCAATGATGTCTTTGCAATCTGGCTCCTCACCTGTAGAGCAGGTGAGAGATGGAACTTGGGGGCTGGCTAGCTGAAGTTCTATAGAACACTTTCCAACCCCTAGTGCCCTCACTATGCTGGAAATGGACCCATTTCAGTCCTTCAGTCAACAAGTAACCAAAGCCAGCTACAGAGAGAGGAATTAAGTTATCCCGGGTCACCTCAGCTGCTCCTAGCTCTTTAAATTCAGTTATCATTGTTAATAGATTTAACTCAATGAAAGATACAATTTTAATTGCAGATGGAGCCTAGATTCACTGTGTTTCAGTTATATAGATGGAGTGCTTTTACATAATTTTAAATTCTAAAAACATCATGGCCAGAGCAATCCTGCTATGCTCTAATTATACCTAAAAGCCAACAGACAGAAATAGTCAATAACTAGAATTAATATCAGTTTTATCTTTGTCTTTGGATAAGAGGAAAGACAAATGCCATGCAGGTACTTGCTGCCTCTGCAGAGGCTGAGAAGATCCCTAAGAACCTTAGTAGATCCCCCACACACACCTTTGAGCACTGTTACTTCCAGGTCACCAGTGTCCACTGTGAGTTTTCTTATATAAAGGGGTTAGTGGCATCCATATACCTGAAGCTCTGTTTGACTCACCAGGAATTCTAAGATCTAAAGCCAGTATACTCCCATCTGAACAATCGCAGTGTTCCATTCTGGAATGGCTCCATATCTAGGTCAACCCTAACTACATAGTACCCTGTGTCCCACTTTCCAAATAATTTCATCTTAAAGGAAAATTCTACCACCTGCATATAGAGGATGGATTTTAGGCCAATATGCAATACTCTTTTGCTGTAGATTTAGATTCCTGAGCTTAGCATGTTTTCCTTACATAAGGTCTCAAAGCCTCGTGAACATATTGACCAACAAAAGCCCCTTATTGTTGGTTTTGAAGTTAAATCTTAACCAGAATCCAAGCACAGTGTGCCTAGAGAGAATGCGTATTGTCTGATGGCTTCCTAATTCACATTCAGAGGGAAACTCTGAAAGAAATGTTCTCAGAGCATGTTTCCTTCTGCAGTTTAGGTACAGCAGTCATTGAAACTGTCAGAGTAAGCCTCCCGGAGAAGAAGGGATTCATGTTTTCACTCTTCTCTAACTGAATTCAAGCATGGGCCTGTGAATCTAAAACAAAAGTAAACAAGTAAAAGTCTAAACTAAAAAGAAATAGGGGCTGGAGAGATGACTCAGCCATTAAGAGCACTGGCTGCTCTTGCAGAGGACCCGGGTTCGATTCCCAGCACTCACATAGTGGCTAACAACCATCCATAACTCCAATTCCAGGGAATCAGACACTGTCTCCTGACCTCCGCGGGCACTGCACAACATGGGTGCACTTATACACATGCAGGCAATATATACTCATACACATAAAATGAAAATAAATAAATTTTTTTAAAAAACAAAAAGAAATATTAGTCCAGACAAGAAATTAAAGTCAATCAGTATAACCCAACTACAAAGTAAAGCGGGAACAACAGTGAAGAAAATCAAGTCATAAACTTAGGTCAGCCTATGATACTCTCTCATGATAGATACACAAACAACCAAAGACTTTTAAGACACATGAGAGGCTAAAGACAGGTGTTTGGAGGAAGACAGGAACCAGTTGTTTCCCAGGCCTTTAAAAGATTTGAGCAGCGGGCAAGCTAAAGGCAATCAGGAAGGGAAGGGAAGGTTTGCTGCAGGGTTGAGCATAGTGATCAACTGATAACCAAGAACTCTCTTTCTGAGATTAAAGCTTACTTCAAAGAATAGTGCCTAAACTCAGGCTAATGGGATTCACAGCACAAGTTTTTAATAATATACTTACATGTGTCACAGCAGGTACCTGGAATTTTCATGACTGTCCCCTAAGAAAACAGCAAAGATCCAGATTAGGCACAGATAATTCAAAGTGGACAAGTCTTCAGGTCACATCAATTTCTAGCTCTGAACTCAGAGCTTTGAGCTGAAATCCCCAGATGTAAACTGCTTTCCCATCACAGCTGTGAGCCAACTAAGTACTACCTGACCAAAGTGAAGTCGGGATCTTCATTCCTAGGAAAAACGAAATGGGTTTAACCCACCTTCTTATTCAAGGATCACAACCTTCCTTCAGTGAGCAACTGTTTTCAAAGCATCCTATGGTCCCAGAGAACTTTTCTCTTCATCAACATTTCATTTTGTCATTTCATTGATTCTCCAACCAGGACAGAGATCTGCCTTGGGCACTGGGAAATCCCTTAAGAGTTGAGTGGTATGTTGCTCAGAACTCAGTTCTTGCAGTCAAAGAATGAGACCATCAAGGCAAAGGTGGGATCTGAACTACAACTACTCACTCCTTCAGCCAGACATTTGTGTTCATCAAAGGGTGGGCAGCCTGTGACCCTCTTCTCCCAGATATATTCGCCTCTCTCATTGACCTTGCAAAAGTGATTATCACAACCATCCTGGAACGTCTCATCACGCTGGAAAAAAAAAGGGGGGGGGTAGAGCAAAAGTGATGACAATGTTTGGATTACAGAACTATTGTTAACTATGGCCTTGACACCTTGGAGTTGCTAAAACAATTTGGGGAACTATGGAAGAAGAATGAGATAATACATAAGATCCCTACACTCAGAAGACAGAATAGAAGTAGAGTCCCAGATCTATAATTTATTTAATATGAAAAGAGTTGCATAAATATAGGAAAACCTCAGACTATTCTGACATAAGTACTTACAAGACACCAACATAGTAAAAATAAGCTGGCTAATTTATAGCCAAGTGAGATATGAACCAAGGCATCATCTCTCTGATCCACCAGCTAGTTCCAGTGGTCACAGATCAGTGTGTTTCGTGATGGTTGCCTGTCTAGTTCCACAGATTCTCAAGGCCATAGAAAATCTTCAAAAAAAAATCAACCCACTCCAAATCATGAGGCCATACACCAACAGTACACTTGTCAAGAAGAGCAAAATTATAAGCAAATCAAAGAGGAAATCCTGTGCCTTCCTTGCGTCATCTAAGTTTTCTTTACAAAAATCAAAGAAAGTGGGGAAAGAAGCTAATACTGAACCAAAATTAATCCTTCTCGCTTGAAGAAAAGACCCCCTGCAAGTAGAAAACCAGATGGTGATATGAGAGAGGACACCTGGGTTCAGCTCCCACCTTCAGCGTCATGATCTGTCCTCCTCGTAGCTGAATAGTGCAAGCCGTAGGCAAACATCTCCCACAGCACTCCCCTTGGTTCTTCTCTTCCTGGTAGCCCTGTATTCAGGAAAGCAAGCAGCCATAGTTAATCCCCAGAGTACCCCAGTTGTGACTAGGCTTATTTACACTGTCGACTTCTTGTCTCTCTTATCCAACAGTTTCTCCCAGAGTTCAGAAAACCAACATCCTTCTCTAACTAGATTATGTCAGTTCTCCAGCCCTCAGATGTCTCTTCCCTCTATATACACGTATCTCACTCGAGTTGTAGCAGCCTGACTTATTAAACTAGATCTCTTCCCTGAGCTCCAAATTCACGAATTCAATTGTTTACTGGACAACTTTTTATCATATTTTTGTCTTGAGATTTATATACAAAATGAAACTTGATTTTTGCTCCAAATATCCTTTCCTAGCCTTCTTAATCTTGGTAGTTGGTGTCATGAAGTAGTTGCTCAAACTGGACATCTGAGGGTTATCTTGACCCCTCAGTTTTCTCATTCCACCCCAGCCATTACCAAGTCTTGCCAAAAATGCATCTCATCGTGAGTCACGGCCGGTTCCTTCTGTCATCATCGCGTCTAAGCCATCATTCTCTTCCACTGGACCCTTGTAAAGTCCTATTTTGTTTTCGTACCTTTATTTTTGCCCTCCACTATGGGTCACCATACGCCCACTAGAATGACCTTATAAAGACATATCTAGCCATGACATTTCCTGCTCAAGAACCTTTGGATGCAGTTCTGGTTCTAGCAGTGGCACAGTAGTAGTAGTTCTGGTATTGGATGGGGCTTCCTTCAGATAACAAAGGTAAACGGCTGACAATTAAAACAACTATTCAAGGCACCGATGATGAGCAAAATCGGGAGGCTGTAGGTTATGTGATCCTGAAAGGAGGAGCCATAAAGGACAAAATTCATTTTTTAATGGCTTTTCCCACCAAGACAGTTTGTAGAGCACTAGACAGAACTCAGGATTATACTCAAGATGATATATGTCTTTTCCTGAAGACTGAGTTAGAGCAGAGTTTGGAACTACTAGAATAGCTGGAAACCAAGGAGAAAAACCTCAAAAAAGAGGAAATCAAAAGGGGGAGACCTACAAATTCCTATGTAGATGCCCCTTAAATATTTGATCCTTAATTACCTGTGTATCAAGAAGCCAGGGACAAAGCACAGGTGGATAGTCAAGAAACTTGGGCAAAAAATTCATCTGCCTCATCTCACAGACGAGACAGAGCTTGGAAGGGCAAGGTGAATGACTTGGGTTTCTACTGAAATTTCATAAAGGCACAAACTTACAGACATTAATAGAATCACCCGATACTAAAACCTAACAAAAGAAGAAAATCAGAAATCTCTCACTGAGAGATCTATGTCTCTTCATCATAGACATAAAAGTCTTCTTTTTACATTAATAAATGGATCGCTTAGTAGATACAGAAAAAAATAACAAGCTATGACCAAGTGAGATTTCTTCAAAAGAATGAATTGTTGGCTCACCGTTTGAAACCAATCAATGTAATTCTTTATGTTTCCAGAATTAAGGAAAAACTATAAAATTATCTCAAAACATAAAGTCATGTGACAAAATTCAAAGAATCATTCAGAATTAAAACTCTCATCATAGTATAAATAGAATGGAATTTCTTCAGAGTGATGAAAAGACTAGAACTGCACCATGATTAGAGAATTAGTTCTCTGTGAGGTAAACAACTCATCACACTCATCACTTCTATTCAATATCACACTAGAGACATTAGGCAGTAAAATAAACAAGAAAAACAAGCAGGAAGCATAAAGATTGCAAAGAAAGAAGTAAAATCTGTCTCTATTTGAAAGAGCCATAACTGTTTATATAGAAAAGCCTTAGGAATTTGTCCTACAAAAAATGCTACTATTACATCTAATAGGTGAATTTGCCAAGACTATGAAATATAAATATAGGACTAATATCTTAAAAATTGATAACATAGCCAGGGGTTGTGGCACACGCCTTTAATTCCAGCACTTGGGAGGCAGAGGCAGACAGATCCTTGTGAGATTGAGGCCCATAGTGAGTTCCAGGCCAGTTGGGGATACATGGAGACCCTGTCTCAAAAAAAATTGAGGGGCTGGAGAGATGGCTCAGCAGTTAAGAGCACTGGCTGTTCTTGCAGAAGACCCAAGTTTGAATTCCAGCACCCACGTGGCATCTAACAACCATCCATAACTCCAGTTACAGGGGATCTGACTCCCTCTACTGTCCTCCTTGGACACTGCACAACATGTGTACACTTACATACGTGCAGGCAATATATACACACACATAAAATAAAACTAATTAATAATTTTTAATTTATCACACAAAAGCAATAAATAATAAGAACATGACATTTTTAATCCCATTGATAATATTTTCCAAACACTTAAAATTCTAAGTAATAAACTTAACAAAATATGTGCAAGACACCTACACTGAAAATCACAGGTCCTGGTGGAAAAAGTTAAAGTACACTGTTACGGTTTGAATGTATGTGTCCTTCCAAACTTCATATGTTGGAACTCAAACCCCAAGGTGATGGGATTAAGAGGTTGGCCTTTGGGGAAATGATCAGCTATTGAAAGCTGTACTCTCAGAAATGAATCAGCACTCATAAATGAAATGGACAGAAATGCCTTCTGCCTTTCTGCCTCATGTAATATGAGAAAAAAGCAAGAAAGCATCACCTGTGAGGAACAAGACAGACACCAAATCTACAGGGAAGCCATAGTCTACTTCCCAGCCTCCAGGATAGTGAGAAAATAAGTTTCTGTTCTTTATACATTAGTTATAACACCAGCACTTGAGAAGCTGAGGCAGGAAGATTGAAAGTTCAAGGCTGGCCTGAGCAAGACCCTATCTTTAAAAAAAAAAAAAAAAAAAAAAAAAAAAAAGTTACCCAGTCTCAGTTAATTTGTTATAGAAGCAGAAAGAGACAACGACATAAATAAATGGTGATATATATTGTGTTCATGGACTGAAAAACTCAGTGTCATCAAAATATCCATTCTCACAAGAATAACCTATAGATTCTGCATAATGCAATGCACTTGTAATTCTTTTCATAAAAGGTGACAAGGTGGGCTGGAGACATGGCTTGGCAATTAAGAGCACTGACTGTTCTTGCAGAGGACCTGGGTTCAGCTCTCAGCACCCACGTGATAGTTAACAGCCACCTGTAACTCCAGTTCCAGGGGATCTGATGCCCTCTTCTGGCCTCTTCAGGTATTGCATGCACAGGGTGCACTTACATAGACGCAGGCAAAACACATAAAAAATAAATTTTAAGTGACAAGCTGACACTAAATTTATATGGAAATGAAACAGCATCAGATAACCCAGTCCATCTTGCAAATGAGAAAACTTGACATCTGATTTCAAAATTTACCACAGTAATCAAGTCAAGAAGACTGACACATCAATCAAAAACTCCAGCAATAGATTTATACATAAATAGGCAATTCATGTTTTATACAGGTTTCAAGGTAATTCAATGAGGACAAGGATAATCTTTCAATCGATGGTTCTGGAACCACTGGATATCAATATAGGAGAGAAAAATGAAGTTTAACTACTACTTCCCTCTTTGTAAAACTAATTCCTCATGGATAAAGACCCAAACACAAAACCAAAACTACAAGCTTTCAGAAGAAAACATAGAATATTTTCATGGCCTTGAAATAAATATTTCTTAAACATGATACAAAAAGCACTCAACATAAAAAGAAATATTAGTAAACCAGACTTCATCAAATTTTAACCTTCTGATCTTCAAAAATACAACTAAGACAAAGGCTGAGCCACTGAGTGAGGTAGAATATTGTAAATATGAAGAAGCATCATGCTGTGTATGAAGGTCCACATCTGTGGTCCCAGCATTTGGGAGTATCCAAATATAGGGGAGAAAAACTCATATACCCCTGTAGATAAACACCCTTCATAAGACACCTATTTCAAACTTCTGCCTCCCAAGGCTCAGGGATCACTGCAGAAGAGGAGGCAGAAAGACTGTAAGAGCCAGAGAGTTTGGATGATCACAAGGAAACAGCGTCTTCCAGACAGCTGGTCATTCACACATATGAACTCACAGCAATGGTGACAGCATGCACAAGTTCTGGGCAAGCTCAGAACAGACAAAATCCTGACACAGACACAGGGAAGTGGGTAAGAAACTCCAACACAATGGATCCACACTGAGGGACATTTAGGGATACAAATCAGACTCTATAAAACATGATAGATGATAGATAGATAGATAGATAGATAGATAGATAGATAGATAGATAGATGATAGATAGATAGATGATAGATAGATAGATAGATGATAGATAGATAGATAGATAGATAGATGATGATAGATAGATGATAGATTAGAGATAGATAGATAGATAGATGATAGATAGATAGATGACAGATAAATAGATGATAGATAGATAGATGATAGATAGATGATTGATAGATAGATAGATAGATAGATAGATAGATAGATAGATAGATAGATAGATAGATAGATAGATAGATGAGTTCATTAAATTGGGGTGGGGGAGAGAGTGGGGGGAGAAGTATAGAAAGGGGAGTAAACTATATTGTATGAAAATCACAAAAATTCAATTAAAGATGCACAGAAGTTGAAAGAAGAAAAAATCAACCGAACTTTAAAGATGAAAAAGCTTAAACCTACACTTTACAAAATAAATGTGTGGGTCCTTGGACAGGACTCCTGTGTTAAACTCCACCCACAGAGGGCTCAGGGAGAAGAGGAACAGAAAGATTACAAGAGCCAGGGAGGAGGTATATGACCATACACAAATAGTCATACAGGCTCCTGAGACCCTGCTCATATGAACCTACAGCAATGGTGTCAGCATGAACAGGACCCATGCAAACTCAAGCAGACAAAAACCCAGCATAGATCTGTGGAAATGGGTAACAAGTCCAAATCTGAGTCAAAGAATTATTGGCAGCTGATTACTGTTGAGTGAGGAAGAGCCGATCTTCTGAAAGGGAGGTACTCTAGATAGACTGACTAGACCCCAGTG